AGACAGTGCCATCAGCTGCGAAGGTGATGGGCACAGTCTTCTGGGATGCAGAGGGGTTTATCCTGGCCGAATTCCTGGAAGCTGGGCAAATCATCAATGCTGCTCGTTATGTCCAGACGCTGCACAAGCTCCGTTGTGCATTGCGCGATAAATGTCCAGGACAAAACATCATCATCCTGCATGACAACGCTCGCCTCACATTGGAAGCAATTGCAAAGATGGGGTGGGAAGTTCTTCCACACCCCTCCTATAGCCCTGATCTGGCACCCTCCGTCTACCATCTTTTCAGATTTGTGAAGGATCAACTGCGTGGACGTTTTGAGACAACAGAGGCAATTCAGAAAGTAGTGAGTCAGTGTCTTCGGATGGCTGGAACGGAATTTTATAGAAGGGGAATTTCTAAACTCCCAGAACGCCGGGAGAAATGTATACAAAGAAATGGCGATTATGTGGAAAAATAAAGAAAGGTCTGTAGATTGAGGTGGTGTATTTGGTTTGTCAATAATTAAGCATGTTACTTTACAAAAAATTGTTGCTCATTGACTTTCAGTATGACCCTTGTAATAAGGGTCTGTCTTGTCATGATGCTGCAAGGCCAAAATGCTACCCAAGTCTGACTTGTGGGCCATTTCCAAACAGTCTTACTACTTCTGGTAAGTTTGAGCCCTGGCCTGTGTACTGATTAACATGGGGGTTTTCAGGGTCTTCCTCGGCCTCTCCAACCAAATGCTGGGATAGAACCTCAAAAAGCGGCACTGCTACTTCCTTCAAAATTCTTACCTACTCACCATTCATCATCATAATCTTGCCTTATTTTGAGTACAAAACATCTTCAGTTTAAAGAACATCATAAAATAATCTAAAACTCAGTCACTCAGTTCATGACACTGAAATTTATTGAACAAATTAACATGTACAGACTGTGAGGGGAATTACTCGTAAGGGAAGAGATGTAAATGGCCCAGTCTAATAGTTCTTTGTTTTCAAATACTCAGAATTTCAGAAACCTCAAAAGCCATCATTAAGTACTGTATACAGGATCACTAAGTTGGGTTCTTTTTAATCACAACCTAATAACATGCTGTAGCATGACGCCTGAAAGTCCGAATATTGAAGGTGGAGCGAAATGTCCATTCCTGGACAACGGCCCAGTAATCATGTTTCAGCTACAAGGATCAGTGAATATATTATTGCCTAGGTGGCAATTTTAAACACATTTGCATGGCAATGCATATATAAATACATTGTTACCATGGATATGAATAACAGAACTCTTCAAGGAGGTGATTCCAGTCCCAGATGCCTAGCAGGAATAAAAGGAGGTCAGTTGAGAAGCCATCAGTTCAGAAGTGAATTTGTGTGCTTTCAAGAGAAAGACATTGTTTGAGCTAGTGTAGCAAGTGTGAGAAAGTAAGAATTCAAGAGACTATAGATGCTTCACAATTCATCATGTTACCAAGCAAGCAGACATTGAAGATTTTGCTTTGTCTGTTATAGTCACAAAAATCATTTAGAGTCTTATTATTAAGTGTTGTTACAGCTTGTGAATACCCAATAAATCGATTTGCCAATCCAAACCCCATCTATGAGTCACTAAAACATGTGATAATATAATTTATCCTAATGCATTTATTGTAATTAGCCAAAACTGTTCATGTAATACTGTCTTTAAACTAAGAAATCTAACCTCAAACTCTAAGCATAATCTCACATTTATAAATTAAATATATTAAATTGTTGTTTCTGTGCTCACTGTAGAAATTTTAATGTGTCTAGCTGCAGAACTATTTGACCAGCTCCATGCAGCAGGATTCTCCTTTAAAAGCTGAGAGGCACTTGGCTTATCAAAAAATTTCGAACCATTTACAAAAGCTGAAGGTTCATTACCATGCCCACAGGGGTTCACAACTTAACACTATCCTGAACTAGATGAATTTAGTCCACATCCTGACACACTGTTTTTTAAGATCCATCTTATACTTCAAATGCAGTTAAATAGTTTTCAATGGTGCTACAATTATTGTTAACAGTCACATACAGTGCTGGTCAAGAGCCCGTCTCTGCTGGTTATGTGGTCATAACTTAGTGAGGGAGTGGTCCCTGTGCCCTAGTTCCTTGTTGTGAAGGCACAGGGTGAGAGAAACATAAGTCCCTCATTCTTAATTTTGGCATTAGACTGATAGGAATTTCACTCTTCGCCACTTAAGCCCAGTGAAAAAGCCCCTTATACCCATTTGGCAGAGTTGGTGTGGATGTGAATACCTGCACCTTGCAGAAATTGGATCCCATCCATCTAGCCCTGGGCTAACCTGGTCCATGTGGAATTACAAATGTAAGTATTTAACAAGTATAGCACTGGGGTAGGTTCCAACTTTACATGCTTAATAAAATCACTAAACTGACTCCAAACAGAATAACAGAAAATGTATGGCCAAGCACACAGGCATGGAGACAGAGAGAAAGGCATAACACGACATTTATCTAGTTTGGAACCTGCAGAGAACCGAATCTCCCAACTTGTACCCTAATTATAACTTATATATTTGAATCACACTTAAATCTGTTAACTGTCATTAAATCACAAAGGCATTTAACACAGCTAACACATGGCAGAAATTTTAGGACCTCACTAATACACATACTGCACAACACTTCTCTACTGTTGCCAGCCCCCCCCCATCCCCCAATTCACACGTATGCACGCATACCTAACTTGCCAAATCCAGGGCCTGTGAGATGGAGGCTGGGCCATTCATGGATGTGAGGCCCCACTCCCCTCCAATATAAATAAAGGAATATAATTAACTTGTTCCATATCAATCACTACTAACACTTTACTCTATAACAACCTTAAAAGAAAATAACTTAAGGTAATGGCTAGTAACAGCACGTGGATTAAAGTGTGACTCGAATACTGAAGTTCTGCTGCAATAATTTTAAATAATTAAAAGTGCATAATGCTACAATTTACATTTATATAATACATGTACCTCAATACCATCAATATTCATTCCCAATTAATCATCTCAAGAAGCATAATCCAACTGACAGATGATAATGCAGACTTTCCTTCTTTCATTTTTAATTTTAAATTATCTAAACAATGTGAACTAGTGAATAATGCATATTTCTTGTTACTATCCATTTTTAGATCAAAGGATATACACCGAGTGATTAAAACAGAAATATATAAAAGAATGATAAGACTGGTGCTTTATTATGGATGTGAGGGTTGGACGTTAAATAAGAAAGAAGAATCAGTCATCAATTCATTGAAGAGGAAAATTCTAAGACAAATTTATGGACCAATATAATATAAAAATTATATAAGGAGCCAGAGATCTCAGTGATGATAAAGCTTAAAGGATTGCAATGGGCTGGGCATGTACAGAGAATGGACAGGAGCGTATCCCAAAGAAAATATTATATAGTACAATAGGTGGCAGGAGACGTGCTGGGAAACCAAGAACTAGATGGATTGATGCGGTGGAAGAAGATGCGAAGAAGCTGATGGGTGTAAGGAACTGGAAGAGAGCAGCGCAGGAGAGAGGAATGGAGGGGCTTGATAAGGGAGCCTAAGGCCGGACATCGGGCTGTTGCGCCACAGGAGGAGGAGAAGGAGGAGGAGGAGGGGGGAGGA